TGGCCGTTGAAGTGCGGCCGTCAAGCGTCAGATCCCAAGTCAGTCAGGTGCGCCGCCCCTGGATACGGACTCCTTCGGTGTCAGGTACAGTGTGGTTTGTCCAGTTCAATGCTCTGGAGGTGAAGTGCTTGGAGCGGTATGCGAGGCAAAATCTTGAGTTCGGATAGGGGGGTGTCTCGAACTGCCATGAGACGGGCCAGTTCGGGTCACTGCTTTGTGTGGCTCGGGGCCAAAGGGAGAGTTCGGGCTCCTCGTAGGGAGTTTGAGCTCTTAGTAGGGAGTTTGAGCTCTTAGTAGGGAGGTCGGGCTCCTTTTAGGGAGTTCGAGCTCTTAGGGAGTTGGTCTTCTCAAGGGGAGTTCAGTCTCCTCGAGGGGAGTTCGGACTACTGGTCTCTTCCCTTTGGTGTTTGCACCTAGGGTACGCTGCTTTAAGTGCCGAGCTACTTGTTTTTTGCCACGTGGCGTGTATGCGAGGTCGGGCCAAATCTTCCTTCATCAATTGCCCCCCACTCCTTGTGCTAAGGGTCTTGCCCTGGCGCGGGGAGTTCGCAAGGTGTCAGGTAGATTTGCCCTGCACTTTGAATCTTGGTTCTGACGGCGCAAGGTGCGTTGTCAGGGTTCCTTGGGTTTCTTCGAGCGTCCAAAAGGCGGGAAGCGCGCCAGCCTGCCTAAACGCTGATAGATGCGGCGACGCGCGCTTTATTTCGAAATTTCAAAAAAGCGCGCCACTTGGGAGGCGCGATAGCGGGCGTCTTTTCAAATTTGAAAAAGGCGTGCCGCTGCCGCTTTTATTGAGGAGACGTGCACTGGCGCTCCGTCAGTTTCGAAAAGATGTGCGCCGACGCTCTGTCAGTTTCAGAAAGACATGCGGTCAGTACGGCTGTTGGCCGTCGGATTGGCTTTGATCTAAGCCGTCGCTTTTCGGTCACTGTGAGTATAAATAGCGGGAGGGACCCCAGTTGTTGTCACTTCTGTATTTCTCTCGAGCTCGCATCTGAGTTTCAGCTCGCATCCAGTTCGCGTTCAAGGTCTTCTGCTCGTCCGAGCTCCTGTGGTCTACAGCCTTTTTCCGGGTGAGTACTTTCCTAGATCCCATCTCACTCCCCGATAGCTTGGATGGCTCAGATAGTCCTTTCAGCGGGTCTGATGCAGGTTCTACGAACCGAGTTGCATCCCCCGATAGCCCTAGCGAGCCGGAGGTAGAGCTCGAGGAAGAGTTCGAACTCGTAGGCCGAGGCACTTTGGGTAGTTTGGCGTCCACCTCTCGTCGGGGTCGGATGTTAGACAAGTTTGGTCCTTCGACCATGACAC